TCCTGAACGACCCGTGACCGCCGCCGCCGCCTGCACCCCTGACCGCCCAGCCCCCTCAACCACGCACTGCCTCCACTGTCGATCTCCAGCTCGTCGCTTTCCAACTGCCGAAACCCCTGAGCTCCGCCCTCAACTCCTCCGGCGCCCCAAGCTCTCCCTCTCTCCTCCCACTACACCGTCACCGCCCCGTCAGCCCTCACCCGCCTCAGCTACCAAGTCCAGCCGCCTGAGATCCCTGCCCTCAGCTCCCCATCGCCGACTCTCTCAACCGCGCCACCCTCAACTCCGTCTCCTCCCCGAGCTCCCCGCTCGATAGCACTACCCAGGCCTCCACCGACCACATCAACCACCCTCCGACGTCCTCCCTCCCATCTTCGTCGACCCCAACCAGCGCCTCCATCTCCTCACCGCCGTCAGCCTCCTTCACCGCCTCAGCTCGAACCCCGTTATGGAGGCGGTCGTGCTGGCTTGCCGGCGACGGTCGGAGAGGGTTCTTTGTGGATCTGAGAATGAGGGGGAAGAAGATGAGAAAGAGAGAGAGAGAAGAGAGAGAGAGAGAGTTAATTCCCTGCCACGTCAGAAAACAGAGCCACATCAGCATCTTAAACACAGATTAAGCCCCCACGTGCAACGCACGTGATGAGTTCTCGCCGGAAAAGTGGCCGCCGACGAGAAAAATGACCTAAATGGTAATTTTATTCAATTAAAATGTCTTATCGCCGAATTTCCTAATTAAAATACCTTGTTGGCAAATGGGGTTGAATTAAAATACCAATATGGGTATTTAGCCTTTCTTTTTTCTATGTTAATTAGAGAGAAATTGTATTGAGAGTGTTATAATCATTCTTTATCTAAATTAGTTAGAGAGAATAACACATTTTTGTTCTTAATTTTCTTCCTCGAATTTTCCCACCAAACAAAAGACGACGACTCCGCTGGGGATAAGCTTTTCTAACGAAGAAGTGGTGGCGTAATCCGACGTCAACCTTGCTGGAATGACGGTCGAAACCCTCGTCGTGGAATTTGACCAAGCCAAGTACGAAGAGGTACTTTCCTTTGGATCTTTTAGCCTCAAGGCTAGGCGCAAGATCCGCATGGTCACCCACAAGACCAAAGCTCCATTCATTGTTGAATCATCAAAGGAGGCCCTCCCCTTAGATGAAGATTGCTCGAACAGTCCCTTATTTGAAGGAATGGACTCATCTTCTGCTAAACTCGTTCAACGAGTTGAAAATCCTACACCCGCATTGACACAATGGGTGTTGGGTCATAAAAGGCCCATTGCGGCGACAAGCTCCATCAACACCGAGAATCTCGCTGCAAAAGCCTTAAGACAGGCTAAGAAAAATGTCGTTCGACGGAGGAGAAGATCCTTACGGTGAGGTTATCTCCGAGAGAGCCGATCTCTCAATCAACGTGAGAGCCGCGTTTGTGAGCCTCAACTTGATCGCTGTGTTTCTACTCCAGAACGCAAGTCTCGGGGTGATGAGCCCAAATACAAGCCTCGAGTTATTCAATTAAAATGTAACCCTCAAGGGAGCGTTTCAAAATCACAACGCAATCCGTAGGAATGCATTTCAACACTAGAACAGAATGCGTTTCAACACCAGAACACAGTCCTCAAGGACACGTTTCTCAAATCAAACGTAGCTCTCAGGAGTGCGTTTCAAAATCAAAACGTAGATCCCCAGACCACGTTAATCTAACTAAACACAGTTCCCAGGAACTCGTTCCAAAATTTGAACGCATTCCTCAGAGGTGCGTTTCACCAAAACGCAGACTTTAGTCTAGCATTAATATAGTCAAACGCGACTCTCGTGTTTTTTATTCAGAACATGATGCGATTCGTCGTGTTCAAAAAGATCAATATGGATTTAAAATTCATGTTTGCCAAGAACCAGCCCCATCCATTAATGGATAGGAGGTTCCATCTCCACCCTCACACTCTGTGAAGGGTCCCTCTCAAGTTTCTGACTTATGGGAATTACTGTCGAGAGAAAGACCAGTGCAACAAGCAGCTCACTCATGTCAATGTGAGCGACTTATTTTTGCAGTCCTCTTAGAATACCAATGTTGTGCATCTGTACCTCGACGCGATAGTATTTGACCGGTTAACAAATATCGCTATGCCTGCCAAGCGACGACGTCGCCATAAGAAGAAAGCTTCAGAAACCGAATATCCTGAGGTCACTATTAATGTGATCGACAGAGGAAAAATCTTAGCTCTTAGTTCTGATGACTCTGAAACAAGCCATTCGCCGACCGTCAGAGTCAAAAGGGAAGGATAAAGTGAATGAGAATTCAGACCATGAAGCTTACAATATAAAATCCATCTCTAAAGAAGAGGGTGAGAACGAGCATAATCCTCAGTCAGCCAAGATGGAGGAATTGGAATCTCATCTCAACGCAATTGCCAATAGAAATGAGCTCCAAGATGGTGGAGTAGTGCGGCCTTATCCCGTAGAATGGGACACATTTCCCTATCCTCTGAAATTTAAGGCCCCGACTCTACAGGCTTTCGATGGCACGGGGTCGTCAAATCAACACATCTACTACTTCAAGTTGCAGCCTGGAGATGTAATAGCGAATGATGCCATATTGACACGTTTGTGTTTTCAGAAAAAGTTGCCTTCATCATTGATTTCATTAAACTTCAGTCGTTACAAATGAATTTAAATAACAAAGAAATAAAAAATTATAACTTTCTTGAAAATAAACGCAAGGTCCGTTTATCGTCTCTTGCTTGCGTGGGTCTTGGGCCTGTGATGGGGACGTTGATATCCGTGGACCACCTGGCACTCAAATCTGTTCCAGAAAAATCAGACAGAGCTTCGTTGATCCGCGTGAGATCTAGAAGCTTGAAGCGTCTATCTCGGCTAAAACGAGATATCTGCTCTTCTTAGTGATTACCGGCGAAGGGTAATACTAAGGAAAAGGGGGAACGGGTGATGAAGACTCTGATGAAGACCTCTCCTCTCCTCTGTTGAAGCGTTCGACCACTCTTCACTGCAGCAGGGCTTCGCCAACTTCTCCAAAAATCTAGCCCTTCAAAAATGAGGCCTTAGGGGGCTATTTATAGGCAATGGGAGCACCTAGGGTGCCTAGACACCCCTGGGGTGTCTAGGAAAAGCCTAGACACCCCTGGGTGTCTCGGCTTGGCCGAGACACTAGAACACCCCGGGGTGTTTCGACTTTCCCGAGACACCCCGGGTGTCCCAACTCAGCCTGAGACACTCCGTTGCGTGTGTTTGATTATTTTCGCCGTAAATTCTTCGTCCGAACTCGGATTTGAGTGATTCCAAGTGCGTTGGAAGCTTGACAAATAGTTTGATCCGCTCCGGTGGTTGGATTATCTGTAGAATGAATGAGACTCGAAGGGCGTTGTTCTTTTTGCGAACATCGCCGGGTTCCCGATTAGCACGGGTCTTCGTCGTTCCGAAATCCTATCAGCTCACGTAGTTCGTCGATTCACTTCAATCGTTCATCGATGTCAATTGGACTCCTATGGATCGGATAGTGATGTTCATCATCGCTCTTTAACACTAAACCGTTCGTGGAGATCTATAGGCAATTTTCGATGCCTACAGATACCCCCTCCAAAGCGTTC